TCTCTCTCTCTCTCTCTCTCTCTCTCTCTCTCTCTCTCTCTCTCTCTCTCTCTCTCTCTCTACTAGATATGGCGCACGGTGCTATTGACTAAGTAACTCATGCAGCCGCTCAGGGTAATTTGGTCACACACTAGAGCAACAGCACTTCCACCTCAAGTCTGTGCAGAGTACGTCTTGATGTCTTTGGCAAGTGGACCGCGTCCCTCAGCCTTGGACTTTCAGGTACTGAACCCTGGCTCGGGTGGCAGTGGCCGGTGCCGCTGACGTTGGGAAGTTCCCAGACTTTCTTGGGACGAGGCGGCAAACTGGACTTGCACCAGTACCTGCCGACTGGACCCAACTTATACCGAACTCAGCTGACTGTGCACTATGGACCCTATGGGAGATTGACGAGGACAGCCTGCGGACCTACCGGGTATGGGGCTGTGCATGGAACATGGAATTGTGGTATGCTGGAGTGGAATTGGAAGTGGGACCAGGGCCTGAAATCCTTTGCCCCCCCCCGGTGTAAATTCAAGGTACTCTGAGAAAGTTCTAAACTTTTACCTCCTGTCTGAAATCTGCAGACTCCTCGCTCGTAGTGTGACACTATTCTAGGGACGGTCTCAGCTACCGTCTTCACCCAAATAGAACGCCCGGTAATTATCGCCGTATCTGGGCTGAAAGTCGTGCCAAATACAGCTATAATGACCGGGCGTTCTATTCGGGAGATGGCGGTAGTTCATTCCTCGGGAACGGCCGGTCATCTTCTGGTTCTTGGTATTGAAATGTACATTTGTACTGCATCTGTGGGTATAGCGAAGTGGTAAGGCAACAGGTTCTGGCCCTGTCATTCGGAGGCTCGAGTCCTCCTTCATGTCCTGTAAGTTGCTTGATTGACGACACTGGCTTATGTTATAGCCTATATAGCTGCTCTCCAAATCAGGAGGGATCATTGATCTGGGTGGGGGAAACTAGTTATCTGTCAGACAGGGCAGCAGCATGGAAGACGGGATAGGTTTTCAAAATATGGACTTCTTACATCGATGACGTAAGAGGGACCATCGGCTCCGCCCACTGCATCTGCTACTTTCGAAGGTACACAGTATTATGCAGGAAAGCAACTTCTGAGAGATTTCTGCCTCTGGTAGGAATTCTTTAGACATTGCCGTTCCTTAGTCGCCAACAGTGAACTGCAACGGCCTCCTATGCTTGTTAGCCTGCTTTCTATCTTCCCTTGTGCATGTCTAATGTTCTCTGTGACTTTTCTAATATCTATTTCGCATGTCAATGCCAGATTCGTGGGATCCAGGTGACAATCTGTGTACCTGGTCTGGATCTAGGCAGTCTCACGATCTACAATGTGTCCACCCTTTGTGAGACCGGCCGCAGACCAAAAAAGAGAAGATAGCCATGTTTGACAATGATTTTTTAGCCATCTTTCCAGAAATCTTTCTTATAAATGCCACTATCTTATATTACTCATCTATGGAGTGATTTTGAGCACTTAACTCGAATGGCGTTCTACTGGTAAAACGGATGCACTGAGTTATTATCAGCACTGGCAACCCTTGGAAATTTCACATCGCGATCTATCTGATCTGGTGCAATGTATATGCATAGTAGTTTGTTTTGCAGTAGTTTGTTTTGCAGTAGTTTGTTCCTCTGCTCGCGTTGACGATAGGTTTCTGGGTGCCTCCCTGAGTCCCCAACGACATGATCTACTTAGAACAGCATTTTTTCATCACCTGCTGCCATCCTTTGCTGGTGAATCGGACATCTCTTTTGCTGGGTATGGTTACACGGTTCCCATTCTCGTTAACCCAGTCGGCCAAGAACTCTAGAATGACACGTCCGGTTTGAGCTTCAGCAGGCAGAAGGATGAAACTTACTGAGTCGATCCACAATCACTATCAGTTGATTGTTCCCGCTTCTACTCTTGACCTCGGTGTCCATGAAGTCAATAGAGGCTGATTTTCCAGGTCCAGAGGGAATGGGAAGTGTTTTTTTTTTTTTTTTTTTTTTTTTTAAACAGGGCCTTGAGGTCCTGGCTCCTTTCCATTCTGGGGAGCACCAGTCCGGTTCCTATTCCACCGGCAAGTCAAAATAGTTTTACAAATATGATATACCCACGCTTCCTTCTGTCTGGCCGAAGGACCCCTGAACAGCATTGATTACTCCAACCTAGTGGAGGATTGACTGTCAGTTTGCCGTGCGTCACCCTTTCCTCTCAGATCTGTTACGTAGATCTGCCAGATATGTCCTCAGAAAACCAGAAAGAGCTCCACCACTACTCTGGCTGAGCCTTGATTACCCTTGCAAGGCCCCACGCTTTAGACTTTGTCTCCCTCTTAGTCTCGAGTCCGGAGATAGGGGTCGCTCCAAAACCCCCAAACCCTAAAGGGCCTAAACCCTTTTTTTTTTTTTTTGAAGCCCAAATGTCGAGTCTGGATCCAAATGTCACCAAGCTCTCTCTTTCTCTCGTAGTCTGCTGACGCAGTGAAGTCAGGTAGCGAGAGAGTGAGAGGGAGATGGTGGACTGAGAAGAGGAAGAAGAAGAACTCTCTCTCTCTCTCT